ATATACTTATCTAAGCCAGTAACTGTGGTCAGGAGAGGGGAAAAGATTTACTTAGTTCACGCGTACAGACTTCCTCCTGAATTCAAAAGCGGAGTCATCTTCTCCCAGGGGTTGATGCAGACCCTTCAATAAACCTGAAGATATCATAGGATAAAATAAGTATTGAGAAGTAGTGAAACAATCCCAATACACACTGCAAAGTGCTTCCTATAAGTCTGCTAATTTACTCCTGCAGTTCCAACTATGGGAACTGGGGCCCTTTCCCACTGCATCACACATGACAGTCACCTGCTGACCTTTGTAAAAACGCAGAAACATCGGCAATACCCAGACTTCAAATGCCGTGGATCTGAGGCATTTTAACAAATACTCCAGGTTATTCTCTCATGGGCAAAAAAGGACCACACTGAGCTAAATTCTGTATATCAGATACATATTTTAATGCCTTTTTTTCTACCACCATAATATTCATACATTTTTCTGCATTGTGATGAGGCAGAGTAATACAGAATTATTTTTTAGACTTTATTTTGTTCTTCTTGGTGCATGCATTTTTAACTCCCAGGATTAGAGGAACTTCCCCATGACATAGTTTTATGTATATACTTATATAAATATATATGTGTGTATATGTGTGTGTATATATGTAGTCTGTCCATAAAAAGTCCTGCCATTGTTAATATAATGAGAGAGGTTTGTGCAACATCAATGCCACCTGGCAGTCAAGGGGAGTGAACCGGAATGTACATTTATGAACAATAGTGAGGGTGGTAGACTCCACTGAGTGAGCATGTGTACTGTGTGTCCATCACATTAAAAAATGACTGATCGAGTACAGCAACAAATCTGCATCAAATTTTGCATTAAGCTTGAAGTCCACAGAAACTATTCAGATGATTCCAAAGGCCCCAGCTAGGGGCAGCTGGCAGTTTCATCACAATGTGCATCATGTCTCGTGCAGAGATTTTTAATGAAACATCAAGTCACTCAGGTAACTCAGCCCTGCTACAGCCCAGATTTGATGCCCTGTGACTTGTGGTTTTTCCCAAAACTAAAACCACCTTTGAAAGCATAGAGATATTAAGGAAAATACAATGGGGCTGTTTATGTCGATTGGGAGAACTGTGTGAGGTTCCAAGCTGCCTGCTTTGAAGGTGACTGAGGCATCATTGTCCTATGTACAATATTTCTTATATCGTGTATCTTCTTCAATAAATGTCTCTGTTTTTCATATTATATGGCTGGATACCGTCTGGACAGACCTCACACATATTTGATTTGCTGATTTCAATACTTCTGAAAACATGTATAAAGAATGAAGAATCAGTTGCATAGCTTGGCATTATCTTCTGTGATATTTCACTTTGATACCACCTAAGAGGCCACTAATGTCTATTCTGAGGCTTACATGTACTTTGGAGCTCTAGCTTTCACATGTTAATAGTTCATGATGCTTTGTTTGGTAATACAGTTAGCCTGCAAAGCCATCTTGTGAGAGATAAGTAAAATAGTGAATTCATAAGAATGCTAACACTTACATGTGTGCCTTTGTATGTTTGTGTCCATGTGTTATAATAGTATGAATATTGGTTACTGACATATGCATATTATGAGAAACCACAACTATGGAGATGTTGCCTAGAAATAGAATTCTTTGCAGACGTGTGTACCTGCTGGCTCTAGTATAGTGGCACCTCCATATTCATCGTTAATGCTTTCTGGAACTCTTGACAAGTGCCAGAACCAACAAGTATTGAACAATAAAGCATTTTCCTCTTGAGGTAGTATTGTGACTCATAAACATTTTTAGGAAGTGTGAAGAGTCCTAAGCTAGTGCTGAGTGCTGAGACATTTTCCTCTTCTCATCAAGATGTGATGAGTACAGGGTTTGATAAGTTCTGGAGCTAACAAGTACCAAGGTACAACTATACTGTTAATTTGTTACAAAGATGCTTTCAAGTACTGCATGCTCAAGTGTCTGTTAGTACATGGTGTGCCCCAGAAGTTTTGGTTTTAAGACGCTTCTAAGGGCTAATACTCCTATAAATTTGGAATCGGGTTTACATCAGTGCTTGCTAGTCCTTTCCTAAAGTTCCTTGCTTATCTACATATGATTAAGGAATAAAATATTAGAATAACTCAAAAAATATTAGAATAAGTCTTCCTTAGGCATCATTTACTTAGGATATTTCATTTGACTACATAGTCAGGATCTCATGTGCCTATGTCTGTCCCTGGGCTATAGGAGGCTTAGAGAAGTTTCCAGGGAAAACTTTATTTTTAAAGAGCTTCGTATCCTGGCTCCTACATCCAGTTTTTTTCCCCGCATGCTTATGTTCGACTAACACTTTCAAAGCTCTAGCCAGTCCTGGTTCCACAACCACTTCACCCTTTGGGACTTCTTCTCTGAGTGGATGTGGAATGAGCACTTTGTGAGACAGTAAGGCATAGTGGAGAGAGTCTGATTTTAAAGTCCTGCTGACAGGAGCTGCAACGCAGTTGACCTTAGACAAATGGCCCAGTCACTCGGAACATCATTGTCTTCATCTATCAAATCACAGTGATTTTCATCTCATCAGTTGCGTTATGAATTGAGTTCACACGCATAAAATGACTAGTCATAAGTGGGTTTTTTCGCATTTGTGAATCTCCAGACTTTTACTAACACCGAGCCATCTAAGTCAGCACTTCTACAAACCCCTGTAGTATTTTTCTAATGGGATTTCCTGGAAGCCACTGCCAATTTTCCTGTTTGACCATGTTATGATATATTTTGGACATGATAAAGATGCTTACAGAGTTTTAAATATTTATGTCCTCTATGCTGCACATGCCAACTGTGTTTGCTCTCTCCATTTCTTCATGTGCCAAGGAGACAAGCCGAACAGCGTGAGAGGAAAATACTGTCAGGGCACAAAGTAACCTTGTCTGATGTGTGCTCAGTGCAGATGGAACCTTAATGGAAAAGAGTGGAGACTGCTCCCTGGTTGCACAGTGATACCTTGATTAACAAATCACACGGGAACAAAGGTCCTTTATAAGCAATTCAGCTGAGTAAATTTTTATTTTAAAACTTCATGAGTCAAATGAAATAGTGTTGGCTGTGTCATATATTTCCAGTAACATTCTGGGTAAGCTACACTCATCCAAGAACAGAAATACCTCCTGACAGGGTGTCTATTATTATAAAGTTGACAAGGTGATTCTACAAAAAGCTGTGAAGTGACTTTAGATAAACTTTTTTTTCACTCTTGTAATCACTATGTTCCCTCCTCCACCAACAACCAGCCATAGATTGTTAACCTCAGAGTCTTGCTGCTCTCAAAAATTTCTCCCTTTAAAAACGGGAACCAAAATGATTCACACTTTGAGTTAAAAGTTCATGTTACCTTACATTGGTCATACTTAGTAATGCCTTAATGCTGGCTGAAAATTAGTGCTACTGAAGGAGATTCTGACTTAATTGGTCTGGGGTAGGGCCCAAAGTTTGGCATTCTAATACAGAGTCAAGGTTGACAACTACGGCTTTAATATTAAGCTGCATTTTCCTATTGTGGCCCTTTATTTCATAATACCCATGTTTACCTAAGTGTAGACTGTAGAACACTTAGTTCAAAGCCACCTGGTGTACCTTGAAAAGGTAGGTTCCTGTGGCCTCACCACAGAATTAGCACTAATGAATCCTGAAATATGTGGTATGCATGAGTGAGTGTGTTTGTGTGTGTGGTGTGTGTGCATGTGTGATGGGGGTCGAGGCAAGAGCTGGAATATTCATGCTTAACCAGCATTCAAACTGATTCTGAGTCACTTTAAGGCTGAATAACTCCTATTTTATTTATAACTTCTAACTCATAGAATGATATTTCAACTGTCAACAATGCCTTTTAATTCCTATTTGCTGGTTGAACATTTCCACAAAGTGGTTGATGAAGGGGTATGTTCAAAGTCTGGAAAAAGTTCAGCCATTGTTCATATAAAGAGGACAGTTTGTGCAACATCAATGTGACCTGGCAGCTAAGCAGGGTGGACTGGAATGCACATGTGTGAACAGTGACAACTTCACTGTACTAGTCAGAGAGGGTAGCAGATGCCATTGAGTGAGCACATGCACTGTGTGGCAAGAACATTCAAAATGACTGAGCAAGCAGAGCAATGAATCTGCGTCAGATTTTGCATTAAGCTTGAACATTTCTCCATGGAAACTATTCAGATGATTTAGAAGGCTTTTGGTGACAATGCCATGAGTGATTGGCAGTTTCATCATGACAGTGTGCCTGCTCGTGCATCACGTCTCATGCAGAGTTTTTTTTGTGAAAACATCAAGTTGCCCGGGTGACTTAGCTCTGCTACAGTCCAGATTTGGTGTCCTGTGATTTCTGGCTTTTCCCAAAACTAAAATCACCTTTGAAATGGAAGGTATTTCAGACCATTGATGGGATTCAGGAAAATACTACAGGGCAACGGATGGCAATTACAACAAAGGATTTTGCAGTGTCTTGAAGAGTGGAAGAGACACTGGGAGAACTGTATAAAGTCCCAAAGTATCTACCTTGAAGGAGACTGAGGCATCATTGTTCCACGTACAATGTTTCTTGTATCTTGTATCTTCCTCAGTAAATGTCTCTATTTTTCATATTACATGGCTGGATACCTTCTAGACAGACCTCATAGTATATATTTTAAGCAATACTATGTAAAATAATTATAATAATTACACTCAATCTAAATAAGGTCAATTTTACTTCTAAAGTAAAGAAAAATGAAAGTTAGACCTTTGAATATTTTTCTAATACACACATATTTTGAAGAGTGAGTATATAAATGTTAACTTCATGTAAATACTCATTAATCTGTGATTATCTTATTATCTAACTACAGATTTCTAATATATACACAAAATTACAAGAGCTTGTAATCACTGTTGAGAAATATGGAATCTCAATCTCTTTATCTCTTTTTCTCTCCCTCTTCTTCCTCCCCCACCCCCGCTCCCACTGTAGCATCAGAGGAAGAAGAACCAACTTCAGCAGGTAAATTTCCTATTCTGTAAAGATTATTCCTATTCAATTTAATGCCCTTAATAACAGAGACCCAACTCTTTGAAGTGTGTATCTTAAAGTTTCAACTAGAAACTGGCACAGTTTTATTTATTTGCTTGTTTTTACTGGACCCATTGTCCCAGACTAAATGATTGTGGAGTTTTAAATAGAAATAGAAAGAAAAAAAAACAGAGGAAAACATAACATGATGTATCACATCGACATTAAATTATGATGAAAATTAAAACATTTAGCCAACTGCCAAAAACAATTAAATGAGAAGAAAATACTAAAATGATAAAATGCAGGAAAATCGTAAAAATGGAAAGAATAAAGTAAAATGCTAATGCATTAGTTATAGATTTAAATGATTACTTTTAAAACAAATGCATGCAAGATTTATCTGAGCATAGAGGTGTCTAGTGGATGCTAATACTGAATGAATGACTTATTTAATGTTTGCAAGGTGTGGGTGTCATGGGCCTAACAACCCTCCGTGGTGACCCTTATGGACATTGCATAACAAATCTACATTGTTTTTTTCCCACAGGTACATAGAATTGGATTTATTATAATTCAGTAATAATGACAAATTCTCATTGTCCAGAACTATTTTTAAAGAAAATAAATTTTATCCTGAATAACACTTGATGAGAACAAAATCAAGACAGAAAATATCACTCTGAGAAAATTAATGAAATGCTAGTTGTTTTACTGGTGTTATAATGTTGCAGAACAATAGGGCCTTTTCTCTTCATGACAGAGCATATTTGATTTGCCTTATATTTAGAATTATTATTACTGACATCATTAAAACAAAGAAGTGACCCCCTCTCTCCTCACATGATTCAGTTTAGTGTATTTTCATGTTTCATTCAACCTTGAGCTATTTTTCAAATACGCCTTTTTCTTCCCATTTGAACCTCTAAACTATCATCAGAAAGCAAGTACATTTTTGTGTTGAGCTGTAAACAGGGTGCAAAATATGTCACGTCCCATTTCTCCTCATGGGGAGATGAGCCCCTTAGTGAATACGGAGCATCATTTTCAGCTCTGAATGCTCAGATGGGATGCATTAGCCTAAAGGAACATGTTTTTTAGCAACTGGGTTCTAGGGCAGTTGCACCTAACACCTGCTTCTGTAACTATTAAAAGCTTCTTTTATCTTATATTGAATTTTATGTTTAGACTTTTAAACAACTTATTTCATTGAGTATAAAAATACACATCTATGAACTGTGCAAGAAATTTCTTCCAACTAGGTTATATCCCAAGATCTAATTACAAACTAATGAGATTCGTATTTTTAAAGTTGCCATAACAGATACTGTGCCTCCAAATGAATCACCTTTAGAGATGATAAATGTAATCCAATTATGTTGCTATTGCTCAACTAATATTTCAAAACTTGCTTTTGAAATTTTCTTTAGAATTTATTTATGAGATTTGAACATCAATTATTTCCTTCTAGTTACAGAACTGTGCCACTGAATTCATCAGACTTTGTCTAATATGTCTTCAAAAACAAAAATTTGCTAATATTAAATATCTGTGTGTATGTGTTTTTGTGGGTGTGAAATGCAGATCAGTTTGCAACTTTAAAATCAAATCAGTTTACAACTTTTGAAAGGTGATCACATTATGGTTAAATTTCATAAAATAATACTGTTTAATAAAGTTCAGTCAGTGTGGCTGATACTCTCTCATGTTGGGAAAATCCAATGGTCATTTTATTTAAATTTTATAATCATGAGAGTCTTCATACACATACTTCAATAACAATATTATTGTCTATGTCACTTAAAAATTATGACGTTTACTTTAAAAAACTCTTACAAATGAACTAATCTATATGGAATTTAATTTATTCACTATACAGTATATTAAACCAGGCTTATTCATATATACATTTTCTCATTCCTTTTAATTTACTTGATATTATTAGTTATTATTTTAATTCTCTGGAAATACCACTTATCTGCCAAATTGATAAAATTATGAGAACTAAAACTATGGCAAGAAATATTAGGAAGACATGACTTTGGGTGGTAAACATACAGTGCAATATACAGATGATGTATCATCAAATCATACACTTGGAACCTATATAATTTTATTAACTAATGTTACCTCAATACAATTTAAAAACAAGGGCAGATTGGAAAATGTTATTGAATAAAATCAAAATCAGAAAATGACACAGTGGAGAGCTGGTAGCTATATAGAGACAGTGGAAATAGTTAAAATTCCAATTTAACTGTTTTTGTTCATATTATGTAAAAACAAAGCTTTAATTTTTCCTTTCTATATTGCCTAAGAGGGAATTTTTTATTGCTTTAATTGTTTTTAATATCAAAGAAAGGTACTAAGTTTGGATTTATATAAAAATAGCTATTAATACTGAATTAAATCAAGAAAAATTATGATCTGAAAAATGAAATTTCAGATGAATGTGAATGGTAAAATCTTTTTAGCAATCAGGTAAGTTAAAATAATTACAAAAGCCATAGTGCTCTTAATTTGTTTATAAAATTAAAATTTCATAACTTATTGAATATACAATTGTGTTTATGGCTTATTAACATCAGAGCCCAGTTCATTATGATGATAGAAGTCACTGTCTGGCTACAATAGTTTATATAATAGACTTCTTTTGACCTCAGTAACACCCACCAGTGATGAAGAAAACGGTGATTTGGTATAGCAGTGCTTCCACATTCTCATGTGTTCCTTCCAAATCTTTTAACATGTTTAATCTTTTAAATGCTCAGTTCAGTCATTCAGGAAGCTCACCTAAGAACATTAATAATCTACACACACATAGTGTAACATTGGCTAACAGTAGTAAAGATATTAAGCTATGGGTTTATATATAAAAATACAGCTATAAGTATAAATATGTATAGTTTCACAAATAAGCCTTACATAGGGTTTTATATATACATATAGTTTAATGCAAATGTGTTGTATATGTGTACAGCTGAACACAGGATACAGTGATTAGATATTATTCTCTAACTTTTGAAATATTCAATTTTAGTTCTATGAAAACATCACTTCTATTTATAGTACATTTTGTGATTTTCTCAACTTTGCTACAGAATTCTTTTAGACTTCTTCCCTGTTTTCTTGGGTTAATTCTTCATGGCTAAGTGTGTTCAATTATTCTACAGCTCACACATTTTGAAAGAAAATGATATTTTACCATATTATCCTCTAATGAACAAGAGTTGCTTTTGCATTCTAATCTTAGTGCTTTATTTCCTTGAGGGTCAGAAATTGAGCTTCACATTTCTAATTTTCACATTTGGTACAAATTTTTTCTATTTTATATGGAAATGCATATTTCCCCTCTAGTGCCTGGAGAGCAACTTTACTAATTATTTTGTCAAGTACATTCTTATTCATAAATATATGCTAAACAGGCTTAAGTACTAAAACTTAATATGTAAACCCACCAAAGTTTTTTTTTTTTTTTTGCTACGATCTCTGGAAAACAGAAGCAGTCATTATTTGCAGATTTTCACTGGAACAGGGAAAAAGTCTTCTGAGGATTCAGTTTTGTAGAAAAGAACAAATAGTGTCTACATTTTTTTTATTGAAACAAAACTTCCTTTTTGGAAGCATGTGATAGTGATTTTGAACCATGAGAAAAAGAAAGTTATTTAAATTTATGGTATATGTAGATAGCATTTTAAAAAATATTTTTACTGAGATAAACTTCACTGTAGTACACAACTGTGGTATCAGCAGGGACTTTTGAAGATTGTATACTCTATATCTTTAAGGAATTAAAGTATTAATTAATCTGTGTGGAGGAGGCAAAGAAAAAAATTGGTACACCTGTAATAGCTTAATCAATAAAATATATATATTTAGAAATATAATAACATAGGTATCCATTTTCCAACTGGTTTTGGACTTGCCAGGCCCAATAATCATGTGAGCCAATTCCTTAATTATACTCTAAGTATTAAACTAATAAAAGAGGGGGAATAATATGTTTATACCTTTACATATATATGTGTGTATATATATATGAATATATATAGTTATATAACCTACCATCTTTTCCCAAAAGTGTAAAACTAGACTTGAAATAAACAGTGAAAAAGTTTAAGATCTTCTTGTCAAGAAACATATAAAATAACAAATCCCTTATAATAAAGCTTGAAGCTATTGTTTCTTCAGTAATGTATGTTAATATCTAACAATGAATATATTTAAAAAGTCATGTATTGTGACATGACTATTTGTAACAGAGAAGCCAATTTAATGTTGCTTAAATAATAAGGGATTTTATTGGCTCACAGAATTTAAAACGAGTAGCTCAGTGATGTCACTTAAAATCTGGTTTTTGTTTTTCATTCCCCAGTTTTTCTGTTTTGTCTTCTGTGGTGTGCAATTTATCTTCATCTTCACACAGGTTTCCCTTGTGGTAGTGATATATCTGCCAACAGCTGCTGTGGCTGTACGCATCTTTATTCATGTCCAGAAAGGACAAAGAAGTGACATTTGTTCCCCTGCCTTCAAAGCAAGTGTCCTGAGATCCATTCTAATTGGACAGGCTTAGATCCCTTCTGCTGCTTTTAAACAACCAGCCAGTCAACACCCTCCCCTGGAAAAAGAGGTGGATTTAAGCTTTCTCTCAAGATCAGAAGCCACGTGGCTGAGGGAAAGGGTACTCTTTAGGAATGGAAAGAATGAAATGCATACAAGGTGGATGAGTAATAAAGCTAATAGCAAGGAACCTTTATAATACCCCTGTTACTGTTTAGTATCTTCTTAGTTTTTATCCTACAGCTTGATATGTTTTTCATATTATTTTATAATTTTTCCCTTTTCATTGAACTTATTGTGGTGACATTGGTTAACAAAATTCTCCAGGTTTCAGGTGCACAGTTGTGCAACACATCATCTGTACACTGAGTTGTGTGTTCACCACCACAAGTTGAGTCTTTGTCCATCACAATTTATACCTCCTACGCCCT